TGGAGCTGGAGGACTGGAACGGAGTTAAAGCGTATGCGAAATATGACAAGTTCAACATTGGTGATGAGCAGGCGCAGTATCGACTTGAAGTGGCTTCATATTCAGGTACAGCGGGAGATTCGTTAGCATATCATAATAACATGGCGTTTAGTACAAAGGACAGAGATAATGACAAGGATAGTCGCAACTGTACCGTAGACTATACAGGCGCCTGGTGGTACAAGCATTGCCTCGTCTCCAATCTAAACGGACAATACCTGGGAGACAAACGTGATAACCGAGGAGCCACGTGGAGTCACTTCAGACGTTCTCTTTCACTCAAATTCACTGAAATGAAGCTGCGGCCGTCATCGTAGAAAGAATACCAGTGACACGTTTAATCCTGTTATTGACGTAAATACCAACATCTGATCTTTGCTCATCACAGTTTACAATAATTGATCGATCACAATCAATAATTAGTAGTTATTTCATTAACTTAAGTGACGTTTATTAGGAATTCTCATAAAACTAGTTTTTGGAATTTAATATAAATAGCTTCCTATGCAATAACTGATTTTAGGACAGAAACTATAATTTTCACACCAGTTGCTATAGGAACAGATTTTGTAGTATTAGCCATGATCGCCTCTGACAGCTTTCAATAATTAGTCGCCAGATTTAATTAACTTGACTGACATGAATGGAACCCTCGTAACTTTACATTTAAAAAGAGAGGTTTCCTTTACAGTAATTGGCATGATGAGCCAGAAACCGCGATTTTGTGAGATTGACTTGAAGTTCAGATCCTTGTTTTGAAAAAGAAAATGACTTTTCTGGTATAAATATTACCCGTTGTTCATAACTTTTCTGCAACCAGGCGTTGCTGTTCTCTTTGCGATGGTCAGTGGGGAGACCTTAGTGGGTAGAGAGGGGGGAGGGGTTTGGAGGGGGGCACAACAACGCCTGCTCTTGGGTTACTTGATGTGCGGCGTACAGCGCTAGGTTATATGCACCTCTCGCTGCTATCCTGGATTATCACTCCTTGATGTATACTCATGTTAGTATCGCTCCAATTTAATATCATTTTTCGCTTCAATGATCTGTGGACTCGTTAGATTAAAATTCAGGCTATTGTAGTTTCTCTTTATTCAACTGGATCATTTGTTGGTCGTGCAGGATGGATCGAGAGAATAGACTAGAATAGACTAGAATAGAATATCTGTATTTATTAAGGAGAGTCTATGCAGGGCTAAACTGATGGTTAGAGTCAGTGAGAATTGGTCAACTTATTAACTGTCACCTGAGAATTGACTCTTTTTGAGATCTGCAAGATTTCCTGAGCTGAAAAATGGGCTGTCATTTT